TGATTCCACGAATTCGCATCGAAACAAGGCAGATGGAGCAGCTGATGGGCAAACGAATCATCGTTTCCATTGATTATTGGCCGAGAAATTCCAGATATCCAATTGGCCATTATGTGCGAACGCTTGGCCAGATTGGTGATAGGGAGACCGAAAATGAAGTGAGTTTATAGGTGATAGCGAGCGATTTGTTAAAGATTATTCTTGGTTTATGATTAGTTCAACGGTAGGTTATGAAGGGTTGAAGATGGATGCAGCAGATTTGAGATTTAATGATGAGCAATCTTGACTGCGCTCTTAGGTTGGAATATTTGGAAGTTCGCTATTTTGCTGTCGATTTGTGGTTTTTGTTGATAGATATGGCGATTTGAAAGAGCGTAACACAGATTGATAAGGTAGCAATAAGACTGACAATGAACACTGAACAACTGCGATTGAGGTGTTATTACTGGAGCACGATATACCGCATGATGACTTCTCCGAGGCAGTGCTCAAATGTTTACCGCAAATGCCATGGCAGCAACCCGAACAATCGCATCGTGTTGATTTACGATCGCTAAACATTTGTTCGGTGGATCCACCGGGCTGTACTGATATCGACGACGCACTTCATTGCACGCAAATATCACCGGATTTATACGAGGTTCATTCACTTCGAGGTTTCAATCAAACAATACTTTATCGAGGACCGCCAGTGTGCTCAACTGGTTAATCACTCATTCTGATAATGAGTGATATTATAAGTGACTCTTATGTACAGATCTGATCAAGGTAGAGTGATTTTGAGGTTGGTGTACATATAGCGGATGTAACGCATTTCGTACGGCCAGGAACGGCAATTGATCAAGAGGCGAGGCACCGAGGTACAACCGTGTATCTGTGTGATAGGTACGTTCATCAAGCTTCTCTTCAATTCAAAACCATCACCCAATCGCGAATATTTTTATTTAACTCGTTGTCACAACGAATCGCACCTGGCACCATCTGATTGGTCAACGTTGCAGACGAATCGATATGTTACCTGAACTGCTGTCCGGTAATTTGTGTTCACTACGCGAAAACGAAGAACGATTCGCATTCTCAGTGATATGGCAGCTGAATGCGGACGCCGATATAATCAAAGTGAAATTTCACAAGTCAATAATTGAATCTAAAGCTGCGCTCACCTATGAGATGGCGCAGAAACGAATTGATGATAAGTCTCTGGTTAGTTTTGTGATTATGAATTGTTTGTCATTGCTATGGCTGTAATTATGATTCTAGAGAATTTCTTGTAGAATGATGAGGTAACGAAGAGTCTACGCAATTTGATGGCTCTATCGAGGAAGTTGAAAGCGAAACGGATGGCGAAAGGTGCTCTAACTTTGGCATCATCCGAGATTCGTTTCAATATTGATTCAGAAACGAGAGATCCAATCAATGTACAAGAGAAAATGCCACTCGAAACGAACAGTCTGGTAAGCTTTCCATTATTTTTATTGCATACATTTTTGAGCTTGCGCTGCGCCGAACAGCCAAACTGCAATGATTTTCCATGATTTCTGTAGGTAGTATTCTTTTACAATACATTTTTTTTTTGAAGTCGGCGAATATGCCTAAGAAATTTTAAATTTGAGGTTGAAGAGTTTATGTTACTTGCGAATATATCCGTTGCCGAGAAGATAACCAATGACTATCCGGATTGTGCGCTGTTGAGAAGACATCCAGTGCCGAACGACGACAGCTATAAGCCGTTGGTTGAGGTGAGTACTTCGCATTGTTGCCATTTGATTCGCATCGATGATCAATGATTTGAAGGCTGCTCGGTCGCGTGGCTTCACGATAAATGTGAGCAGTGGAAAAGCGTTATCGGAGAGCTTGAACAATGCGATTGATAAGAAGAATGCAATGTTGAATACTTTGCTGAGAATGATCACCACACGCTGTATGACACAAGCGGTTTATTTCTCTTCAGGTGCGTTCAGATAGACATCAATAAATTAACAGTACCCATCTGTACGAAGGACACTTGAGTAGTGAATTAATGGGAAATGAAATGATCAACATATAAAACCAACAACATGTAAAACAATCAACTACCTAATATTCCATAAAACAATTTAAAAATACCTATACCTACTAATAAGATCTGTTATAAAACACTATAAAATGTTTCTAAATTCACTCCAAAACACGCTTCCTGATCGGATTGTGTTCATCAAATGCAACACGAAGTGAACTTACGGGTTTCGCAGAGTTCTGGAGCGCAGTTCAGATGATTTGCAGAATAAGTGAATAAATATCTTTGAAGGTTCATTACCAATGGAGCAATATATACATTTCGGTCTGGCCGCACCAATCTATACACATTTCACGTCACCAATTCGTCGATATGCCGACGTGATGGTGCATCGTTTGCTGGCCGTCTCAATCGGTGCAGATTCATCTTATCCGAATATGCTGAATGGCGATTTGGTCCAAAAAATCTCATTGAATCTGAATTACAGGTCTCTCTCAGTGATTCTTATTATTATTGTCATTTGGCCATTACAAGTGTCTAATATGGAAAATGAAAGCAAACGATGAATATGGAGAAATATGTCTATCCACTGAAATTGCAGACATAAACAAGCACAGTATGCGAGCAGAGCATCGATATTGTTGAATACACTTCTTTACTTCAAAGGACGTGCTGAAATTCATGATGGCTTCATTATGGGAATACGTAAAAATGGTATTCAGGTATGGGGCTTCATCTCAAATGCTTAATAATATCGCACCCTCACTCATTCTCACAGACATAAGTCGAAAACATTAATGATATTTGCACTGAGTCAAGCTTTTTCTTAAAAGTTGTGTTGAAATCAATCGGCATACTAAAACACGTAGTTCATTGAATATTTTAATGTCTGTTGTATGAATGTGATAAAAAATTGCAGGTATTCGTGCCGAAATATGGGCTGGAATCGGTGGTTGTATTTCCGGAAGGGTCGGACTATGAAATAACAGATGAATATTTCAAGGCGAACAATACACGAGTTGATTTGTTCGCGAGAGTTACCGTTGAAATATCGCTGAATGAATCTAATTTACAACACATTCGCTTGCAAATGAAACTCGTAAAACCAAAAATTGACGGCTTCAGTGTGGATTATATCTTATCTGCACCAGAGGAATGATTTTTTGTTTAATTTTCGTTGTTTTGTAATCATTCCCATTGACTATAATTGTTATTATCTGTACTGCTGATGTGTTTTGAATGCCACTTTACTACCTATTATTGTTCCATGCAATACACATTTTATGACTAAACTGTTCACGTTTTTGTTATTATTGTTTCTTCATTGTTATAATTATGCGTTAAATTCCTTTTTGATATTATTATTATTATTATTACGGTTACCTCTAATAAACTTTCTAAGTGGTTTCATCTGTTCTAGTT